TTTTAACCAAATCTTGTTTTTTCTCAGTAAAACACATTTTGTCTTCAATTATTTTCATATCGCATATTTTTCCTATTTTAATTTTTGTTTTGAAAGCATGGTAAAAACTGGTCAAATGCCCCAACAATCACATTAAAAAAATATATACCCTTTTTGATATACCAAAAAAAAAAAAAAAAACAGGTAGCCCATCTGAATTAGGACATTTAGGCTAGCCATCTAATAGTAGGTTGCTGAAACCACGCCCACCTAGCTCAACAGCAGGCAATCCACCTGTCACTCAAGTGGCCACGCCCTTAATTTTGCAGAACTTTAAGGCTTAATATAATTTAAACGTATGAGTTATTAAAAAATGCACCTCCCTCACAGTTGTCATAAAAAGCAAAATTAGCTATATAGACCAAAATATATATTTTTGACCCAGGCTGTAAAGTTGGGCATTTTAACATGGGGAGTCTATGGGATTGACTCCCTTTTGCAGCAAGCCTCTAGCGGCCAGCCACCTCCCTCACAGTTGTCATGAAGGGCAAACTTAGCTATATAGACCAAAATATACATTTTTGACCCAGGCTGTAAACATGTTTTTTTTTCTGCTGTAAAGTAAGGCATTTTAACATGTGGAGTCTATGGGATTGACTCCCTTTTGCAGTCAGCCTCTAGCGGCCAGTTGATGAATTACAGTTTAAGTCACTTCCGTGTTGGCTTCAGGAGAGAGAGCGGGAGGTTGCCGCTTTTCATGGCACACTTGTTTTGTGCGTATTTGGCGCCACCTATTGTTGTGGGAGTATTATTGACATGTCAAAGTAAGACGACCGCGTTTTTTCAGATGTATTTCCAAGAAAAAAAACATCATTCGGGTCAATACTGTACTTCTCAAAACGGGCTTGTTTGAGATGAGCAAATTCTGCGCAGAATCGATCACCGGTGATCACCGCGAGATGCATGCCGGTTAGAAAAGTGTCCGACTTACCTCCGACTTGCTCTGATGTCATGCTGACGTGTGCAAAAAAACTCTGGCGAAGGAGAGGCGGCTGTGTCGGATTGTGCAGTTGCTCTTCACCGACTGCGCTGAGCAAAAGCATGATGAGAAACGACTGACTGAAGACACAGCTTAATGCTCATTGGTTCAGACAACTGTGATGCTGTGTTCTCTTCTAAAATATATATTTTTTAATCTGATTTCATGTGATTATGAATTTAAATCATGCATGAATGTTCCCAAACACTATGACAGCGCGATCTCTGTGTGAGATATGCGATTGTTCGACATGTTTGTATTAAAGTAAAAATGGGTGATAAATACACCTTTCGTATGGAATTAAATAGCAAGCACTTTGAGTGTCTTGTTCATCATATATATTTTCATATAAAAGTATCAGAACTGAAATCATATCATGTTTATTAGCAACACAGCACGCGAGTGAGAATAATGCGATATCTGTCTTTGATCTCGTTGGTATCTGCTCCACTTCGAGAGGGCAGAACTGTGCGTCTTGCCTGCGCTTATTTCACTCCTCCCCTCACTGCAGCCGCCTACTCTCACCAACATTTCAGGCAAGGCGAGGCGCATCTCAAACAAGCCTAATGATTCACTGTTTCGAAGCGCTCGAATTAGCGCACACTGACGACGCCAGCTGCTCAAAACAGTGTAAATGCAGCGAGAACAACAAACATGTGTAATGACAACTTTTACATTGTAAATGCTTGAATGTGTACAGTGTTATTATCCCTTACGAAAATTAACCATGGTTTTATTAAAGTAAAAATGAAGCAACTATGTTTTGTTTTGTTTATTTTTTCAGTTGTATAACCAGTTTTATTACAAATACCATGGTTAGTGTAGAAAAGCCATGGTTAATTTGAAGTTAGTTACCATGATTTAAATATAGTAACCATGTTTTTTTTCCCCCATTTGTTGTTGAAAGTGTAATATTTAATAACATTTTGTAGATTGCATGTAATACCAAACATAAATCGAAACAAAAAAGAGACTGTATAATTTGTATCATTATTTATTTGTATTAAGTGCTTTTTAAAAAAAAATTGTTATAATTGTCATTTAAGGACATTAAAGGTGCCATAGAATGCATTGATACGATATTTTAAATTGTTCTCTACGTAGAAGGTATGTGGCTTAGGTAAGGGCAAAATATCTCCAGAAACGATTTTACATGTCCATTTACAACCCTATAGGATTTGTCGCTAGAATGAAATGGTCTGTGTAACACAGTTCCTAGATCGAGAAGGAGGCGGGAACCGGCGAACATTTAAACACCTTAATAAAATAAACCAACACAAAATGAAAGTAAAGCGGCAGCCCCTCGCGGACGACTGCCGCACACAAAATAAAGTCCAGGCCTGGTCCTCTCTCGTCCTGCACTGTTGTCACTCCTCCTTTTATCCTTCCGGAGCTCCTCCATGGGACTCGAGACCGGTGAGTGGCGCAGGTGTCGTGCATTATCACTTACTCCACCGGCCTCGCTCCGTTCCCACGGCTCTCGGCCCCACTCATCAGTCTGTTTTTACCTTATTTGGAAGGGTCATGAATAATAATGTTGAGCTCTGCTCTGATTGGCTGTTTCACAGTGCGGCTCATTTCAGTAGCTCACACAGCAGGAAGGAAACACAGGGAAAATATATATTTCAATACTT